CCACACACACACCCCACCCCACCCCACCAACCATCCACTCCCGCCGTCGTCAAGCCCGTTTTTTGGGTGGCTTTTTGGGGTACCCCTGTTGGGTGCCCCTTGCCTTGTGATCCCGCTCGCCACCGAATCGTGACACCCTCCCTGAACGTCAAGTGATAAAGCCGCCCCGACCCGGCCCCCGCCCCGGCACAACGCAGGCCGGCAGCGCGGAGGCGGCTGTGGAGGCGGCGCGGCGCCACTCTGAGTTCACGGCGCTGCTGCGGCGGCTGATCGACGGCTCCCTGGACCCCTCCAGCTACGAGGACCAGGTGCGGCGCTGATAGTAGCTGCTGGAATCCCCCTACGCCTGCGTACGCACATACTCACGCGCGCACACACACACACACACACACAAACACACACACACACACACACACACACACACACACACACCAGGTGCGCTCCCTGCTGGGCACCAACAGCTACGTGCTGTTCACCCTGGACAAGCTCGTCTACAAGCTCGTCAAGCACATGCAGGCCATGGTGGCCGACCACCAGGTGGGGGGGGGGGGCGCACGATACAATGCGGCCCTGCAGGCTGTTCGAATGGGGTTCAGTTGACCAAGGGCTGGCCTGGGTTTTAACGTGGTACGGGTACGGCGCGTGGCGGCGCGATCCTGGCGGCTTCCCGGGCGGATTGTGGGCTTTGCTCAGGGTGTGCGGGCTTCACAGGCGCGCAAGCGTGTGCAAGTGCGCGCACTCAACACACATACAGCATGCATGGCTCCCCCTAAACACACTCACACACACGTTTATACACTGTACACACCGCACCTCCCAGACCATGCGTCTGTGTGAGCTGCACCGCTACGAGGCGGGGCGGCGCGCCCCCCTGGCTGAGGAGGTCTACCGGGCCAACGCGCGCCTCATCATGGCGGTGAGACGCCGCACCTCAGAGCACGTCTGCAGCTGTGTGGGGCGGCGCCGCGCAGTCTCATGGGGCGCCTACGGCCTGGTTGTGTTGGGGGCCATGCAGAAGTTGCATTCCTTTGTCAGCGCCGTCACCCTGCGACTCTGCGTGTGATCGCGAAACCCCTCACTGTGCTGCAGGACGACGCCAACTGCTACCGGTTTGAGCTGCTGCGCCACACAGCCGCAGCACCCGCCGCCACCGCGGGCACGCCCGCGCCGGAGGTCAAGCCGGAGCAGCAGCAGCAGCAGCAGAACGGCGCCGCCGCCGCGGGCGTCAAGGCAGAGGAGGGCGGCGGCGCGGCCCCCTTGCCGGAGCCGGAGCAGGCGGGCGCGGCGCCTGTGAAGCAGGAGCAGGGACCCGCGGCCGAGCAGCCGGCTGCAGCGGCGGCGGCGGCGCCCGCGAACGGCAAGGCGGCCACGGTGGCGGTGGCGCTGTCTGTGCAGCTGATGGACCCGGATAGAGTCGAGCACCACCCCGGGGGCCTGGATCCTGCCTTTGGGGACTACATGGGCGCCTTCATGGGTGCCCCGGCGCCCGCCGGCCCCGCGGCCGGCCGCGAGGGCCGCGTGCTGCTGCCGCGCCTCGCGCGCCGCGCGGGCGGCGGCGGCGGCGACGCGGCGCTCGCGGCGGCGCTGGGCGGGGTGGCGGTCGCGAACGGGCTGGAGTGCAAGATCAGCTGCAGCAGCAGCAAGGTGTCGTACGTGCTGGATACCGAGGACGTCATGTGGCGTCACCGCGCCAGGGCCGCTGGAGGCGGCGGCGGCGGGGGCCTGGAGCAGCGCGCGGGGCGGTACGCGGCTTGGCTGGCGGGCCGCGAGGCGGCGATCGGCGGGCTGGAGCCTTACGCGCAGGCCTTCCCCGAGCCCATGGCGCAGGGGTGAGCGGCGGCCGCCTGCGGGGGTTGAGCAGGCGGCCGCGGGTCTCGGGGAGGGGCCTCGCGCCGAGCAGGCGCGGTCGGGCGCCGCAGAGGCGTGGCCGTGTGGATGTTGATGTGTGAATCTGTGTGTTTTCTGCCAGGCAGGTGTCGCGCAGCTCGCGAGCTTGTTTATCGGTTCGGTTTCTACGGCGCAGCAGCTGCAGCAGCAAGATAGCGCGATCGGGCCCCGCCCAGCTGGCAAGCCTGCCTGCGCGCGCCCAAAACGCGCCGCGCCGCAGCTCGGCCCCACTGCATCTTTTCAGCAGGGGGTGCCCGTCTTCATCTTTCGTGCCGGTTTGGGGCCATGCCGCACCTGTAGCCGTGCAGCGCCGCAACCCATGTGCTGTGTTGATGCCTGCAATATAATCTGGCTTGCGATGATGTGTCCCCAGGTGCAGCACGACACTCGGTGCATGGCCCATCACATGATAGGTGCCTGACGACTGATGCAACGCTTCAACCCCAGCAGCATGCAACGTGTAACAGCATGTGTGCAAAGTGTAACAGCATGTGACGCAGCGGCGGGCGCAAAGGGCTCAAGGTGGGACCTCACCACAGTTGCGGGTGACTGCATTGCCTTCTCCCATGGTACCAGAACCCAACTGACATGGCTCCCCTTGCGCTGCTCAACGCAACCCAAGTGCTGCAGCTGAGCAGCTACATCCAGTTGCGGGCGGTGACTGCGCCACAAATTGACACAACTGGCACGTCGATGGGCACCCCGCACCTTGAGGGTGGATGGTGCATAGTCAGGTCATCGGCAGACGAGGTGCATGCACCCGCTGAAGTTTGCATTGCCAGTGGGAGCTCTGCGTTGAAATCACATGTATTGAAACACCCGCGGCAGGCTCCACTATTCAACTTTGGCATCCCAAGATATTGCTGTGCTGAGCCTGCGATATGCTGGAACGATCTGGAACCATGCGGTCTGGCCTCAGGGCCCCGCGGATCGCTCCCAGGAAGACAATGATAAGAACTGAGTCTGTCTGCGCTCGTGCCCTGAGGGCAAGGTGGCTCCTAGACGCCAGGTGAGCGCTGCGCCACTCGACGCACTGACTTGCGCGCCGCCGCCTCGGACCATGCAACATGGCTGTATCCAAGTTCAGATGATGCGCATGCAACCCTCGAGGATACCTGACCGTGCAGCTGGGCCCACAGGTATGGGTACAAGCAGGACGCCACCTCACTGCTCGTGGAATGGGTGCAGACGGTCGGCGCGGCGGCCGGCATCGCCCCCGGCGCCGCGCGCATCTCCACGGGCGCTCTGGGCGCCCCTGAGTCACGCCTTGAGGTGCATAGCCGCCTAGACGCTTGCATTAATGTGGGCCCATCGCTGCATGGCAGATGGGGCGTGGCGTGGCTGGGCCCGGCTCATCGCACAGGACCCAGCCAGCTGTTGTCATCTGGCAGCCCCCATGCATGCTGCCGCGCTCGCTGGCGCCGCGCCCCAGCCAGCTTCCTAATAACGCGCTCCAAGCACATGCCATACCCCCGCGCGGCGATTGTCGCAAACGGCTCGCAGTTGGAGGTGACCTTTGACTCGATGGGCGACTGGGAGGCCTTCCTGGCGCGCGTGCCTGCTGCGCAGCACCGCGCGTGGAGCCAGCGCGTGCAGGGCATGGTGGTCGACGGCAGCACTAGATGGGAGGTCTTCAGGACAGTGGAC